CAGCTTCCGGATTTGTGACAAGGCAGCCCCATGTAGAGAGCGTTACAGTAGTCTAGTCTCGAGGTGACCATCGCATGGGTCACTGTAGCCTGGTCGTCGCGGCCGAGGAAGGGAACCCACTGCCCAATCAGCTGAAGATGGTAAAAGGCCGACTTAGCAGTGGCTGCTACCTAGGCCTCCATTGTTAAGGAGGCATCCAGGAGCACTCCCAAGCTCCTAACCTCCGGCGCTGGCACCAGTGATGCCCCATCGAAGGTCGAGAGTGGGAACCCCGCCCTCAAACCGCCCTGACTCAGGCACAGGACCTCCGTCTTCGCCAGGTTCAGATGGGAGTAATGAGCTGCCAGAGGGAATTGGATGCTGTAGAGCTTCCTGGAGCCTATTGGGGTCCATTTGGCTCCACAGGCAAGCATAAATTCACTCGCCGCTTAAACAGGGGGGGTTAGGAAAACCCAGCCGAGCCTTCAGAGCAAGGTGGTCAGCAGTAATCCGGTCCACCATAATCCCCGACACAAAAATAAAATCCATCGTGTGGCCTGCTTGATGTGTGGGTGTCGAAACAAACTGGAAGAGTCCCAGTGCCACCATGGATGACAGTAGGTCCACGGCCTGAGAGGAGGTGGCATCATCTGCATAGACATTAAAGTCTCCCAAGACTAGAAGCCTGTTCTTACAGCTGCTCAGACCAAGTATTTATTAAACAGACTTACTGAGATTCAACCTGGCTTAACGTGTTTACATATTTGTCTCTGACAAACTTTTTGGGTGGTTTTGGGGCAAATTACTACCTGTTGCTTTCATTGTTTCCACTATTCTATAAAATGGGAAGAATGAGTGTGTTGTTTTTGAGGATCAATGAGGTAAGTGTTGAAGCAGCTACTTTCTGCAGGTTTGAAATGCTGCCTGAGACGTTTAACGCACATCCTCTTCTCTTTGGCTGTGGATCCTTAGCCATTCGTTGAAAGCCCTTCTCTGTGACATCTGTGGCAATCTTCCTATGACCTCTTGCATAGACAGTGTTTGGAAATGTTTCAGGAGGCTGTTGGGAGTGGCATTTCCTTTTAAAGATTAATAAAGATGAGACATGTTGCTTGGCACAGGAAAATGTCCTTCTGGAACACTTTTGGGGGCGGGAGGTGGGGGCTCCAATTAATTTTTAGAGTCTGTATTGCTGTTACCAAAAAAAATTCCAACATTTAACAGCTTAGAAAACAAATGATACAAAATGACAGTGGGAGGGAATGCAAGCGCCTTTTATTTTTATTTTTTAGAGTGAAGCTCCATGTTGGACAGATGTAGGCCGCGTTGCAGCACAACAAGAACCTAATGCAATGTAAATGAATTTTGAATGTGGTTTTTTTAAATCAAGAAACTCCACTGGGGGACCAGGCAGCGGTTTTTCCAGGGAAGAATGAGCCCTCATGCATAAAAGATGCAGGCTCTTTGGACGGGGCTGTAGTCAGGGTGGGATGGGGGGGGGGTAAACAGTCGCACCCCCCTACCTAGAGCACTGTTTCATCCCACCTTTTAGGAAACAACTTCTTAAAAAAGAGAAGTATGACATTACAGCCTCCATGTAAAAATCAAGAGCATGTTTTAAAAATAAGATCGCTGGTTGATCAGTGGCAGCTGATGCTTCCCAAAAGCGGTAGTGCTACAAACTCCATCCCTTTGACCAGCGAAACCTTACCTACCCAGGTTTCCCCCTGGCTCAGCATGGATTTTTCAAGAGTACAATCACCTTTATATTCTTAAATTTCCCCTCCCCTTAGCTGCCCTGACTTTGACCATAGTAGGATGCTTTAAGAGAGGAAGGTGCTGCTTATTTAAGGAAAGTATTTCCTATAGTTTGCTGCAATTAATAATAATCAAAAGGCTTTGTGAGAGGGTTGTAGGTTTCTGTGGGTGGTCAGGAAGTTGCTAATTTCCCTTCCTGCTTAGCTCCCCAGACATCTTTAACACAGCAGCAAGCTGCACATGCCTTGTAAGGAGGGCCGGCTCTCTCACTAGGCCAGCTAGTCTCTGGCCTAGGGCGGAGCTCCGAACAGGGTGCCAACTGCCCTGCCGCCCTCCCCCCTGCCAAAAGCTCCCACCCTGCCCGAAGCCGCTGCTACTAAAACTCATCTTGCGGCAGCAGCGGCAGCGCACATGCTGTGCTGTGCCGCCGTGCACCCATCCATAGGGCACTCCTGCCCGCCCTAACTTATGCACGGTGCACCCATTGGTCCCCATCACTGATTCGCCACAGCACTATGAGCGCCCTGCGCCCAGCCTCCATTGGGCTTGGGGTGGGCGGGGCACAGACAGCGCCCCCTTCCAGGGCTGAGCTCCCTCCGGGGCGGGCGGAGTGGAGAAGAGGCGAGCCTCTCCCCCCCGCTGCCTCCTTTCCAGGGACGGGCTGTGGCGGCGACGGTAAGCCAGAGGCGCTCTGTGCATGTTCTCGGCCCCTGGGACCAAGGCTCCCTTGAAGCTGTGATGTCTCGTGAGCAAAAACTCTACTTTGTGAGCTGCTGGCATTAAAGTTCTGAGCGGGCGATTTGGCTGCTGCATGAATTAGTTTGCGCTGGAGCCACATCCTTCCTGAGCTGAGGCGCGCCTCCCCCCTCCGTTTGGTGGCAGCGGCAGCGGGGGAGAGGAGGCGGTGGCAGCAAAAGGATGGCTGGGGAGGCAGGCGAGGTTCTCCTGCGTGGCGGCGCCTGGTCGCCTGCCGGAGGAAGGCCCCCCCCACACACACACACAAGAAAGGTCACTGGTTTCGGGTGGGACTGCAATTCGCACATGACCCCCACGTGCTTTCCCGCTTCCCCCCCACACTAAAGGTAGAGGCCGGGAGAGGCCCGCGCGGGCGCCTGCATACCAAGCTAGGGGTTCACAGCTTGGCGTGCACGGCCTCCTCCGCCTGGGAAGAGGAGAAGGTGGTTGGATGTATACTTTGCCCTTCACTACCCGAAGGTGTCTCAGAGCAGCTTACAATCTCCTTTCCCCTCCCCATAGGAGACACCCTGTGAGGTAGGTAGGGCTCAGAGAGCTCTCTCAAGAACTGCTTGTGAGAGAATTGCTTTGAAATAACTTGCAACTGATCCAAGGTCACACCAGCTGGCTGTATGTGGAGGAATGGGGATTCAAACCCGGTTCTCCCAGATTAGAGTCTGCACTCCTGACTACTACACCATACTGGCTCTTGAGGAACATTGGTGGCTGTGGCTTTTGGAGGGGTGAGAAAGAGGAGTTGAAGGCAAGGCAGAGGTGGCCGCCTCCCTAAATCCAACTGAGTACCATGTCTCACCTCGCCTTCTGTTAGAACCAGCCCTAGCTTCAGTGCTATCAAGAGTGAATCCAGCTGTTGCTCTTTGTATTGTTGTTGTTGTTTTAATGGCGGTGCAGTCACCCCACAGTTTAGCACTGGAGAGGTACCCTGTTTCCCCGAAAATAAGACCTACCCCCAAAATAAGCCCTAGCGGGATTTCTATGCATTTGTGGTATAAGCCCTAGTGTGTCTTCTTGAGAAAAAATAAATATAAGACAGTGTTTTATTTTCGGGGAAACACGGTAGTAAGAGTCATAGAAGAAGAGGGGGCAGGTACCAAGTGAAATTTAGCATATCCTTTCATGCCCAAATAGCATCCCAAAAGAAGATGCTTCAGCCACACCCTGAAGAGGTAATGGCTGTCCTTGCACTCTCTCACATGCAGGACGCCATCTGAGAATGTCATCCTTGTTGGTTAGAAGAGTGTCTGGTTATTTATATATTTTTATTCTGGTCTTTGTACAAAAATGGTCTTCTAAAGAGGTTATTTTGTTGATAGCAGAGTAGCCCATACCTGCTGGAGTTAGCAACTCCCTCCTCTTCACTGGATCTTGTTTTTCATTGTTATGGTTTGCAGAGTCAGGTTGCACTCTGGCCTCTTGGAGTGCTGTGCCTTCTAGCATTATTTTGGAATAATGTACCACCTCCAGTCCTGACTTACCTTAATTTTGTTTGAACCCATGTACCATTGGAAGGAAGGTAGGGAGCAGCCAGGTACAGGGATGTGCACTTCAGAAATATTTGTAATACTTTCGGATCCAGATTTCGGGTAGGGCATTTGTTTTCATTATCTGGTTTTTGTTTTGTTTTTTGAAGTGTTGTTACTAGGTCAGGATTTTTTCCGGGTCCCCAAAATTTGGGACCATCATTTTTGTTGACCCACCCTTCCACACACACCCAGCAGGAGCCTGGAGGGAAAGACAGAGAGCCCGCCTGGAGGCTTCTCCCTGCTACCAGCATCAGAGGCAGCAGAGCCTGGAAATGGCATTCAGGCTGGGGGGCTCCTGGACTGCCACAAGGTTTGGCTGCTGCAGCAGACATTTCCTCCCCCACCACGGGGGCTTTTAATTTTTTAATTGGTGTTATATCAATATAATAGTATAGCAGTATGTATAGCAATAGGTTCATATAGCAATATGAATTACCAGCTTTTATTTTTTTTTAAAGTATGTCTCTAGCTCCTTCTATTGCAGAGATATGGGGGGGGGCCTTAACCCTTTCACTTCCAGCCATTTTTCCACTTGATGCAACTCCCTGCAGACCTGTGTCGTTTCCCTCATGGAATGAGATGCTGCTGGAGAAGGAGGAATCTATGAAGGGGGAAATAGGCAGAGAGGAAAGGGTTAAGCCACCACTTAAGAGTCTGAAAAGCCAGTCTCCGCCCGTAGCCAGCTAGTTTCTACTTAGACTCCTCCCAAAAGGCCAGTATTTTGGGGATCAAGTTGGCCCTACATTTTTAAGTTGCTTGATGCTTTATAGTTCAAAAGTCCATTTTCTTGGGGTCTTGGAATGAAAGAGAGAAACAAATGGCCAATTTATGCAAGCTAAACAGGTTTGCATAAGATCTATCTAATTCAGGATATCCAGGACTCACCATGTTGGGGGAAGCAGGGTTATTGGGTGTCATAGTCTCGTGTCTGCAGACTTTTTTATTGTTTGTGCCCCTAACATGGAACTTTGCCAATTTCCACAGGATATCCTACTGCACGGCCGATAAGGCGCATGACAAAGTGTTTGCCTACATTGCCCAGAGTCAGCACAATGAGAACCTGGAGTGCCATGCCTTCCTCTGCCCAAAACGGAAAATGGTCAGTATGAAAAGGAACTTTCCTTAGTTTGAAGTTACCAAACGGCAGGTTGAACTGTGTGTGGCAGTTTGCAGCGGTCTAACTAGGGTGTTTTGATGGAGGCACAGGCTCAAGGCCAGCTCTGTCACGAGGCAAGATGGGGTAGTGTCCTCGGGTGTTGGATTTGGAGGCAGCAGCCTGCATGCCTGCCTTTTCACGTTATATTGCTAGAATGTTCTCAAGACGATAGTTTAAAAAGCAAATGCCCTTAGTTAGGGCAGCAGACTAGGCAGAGTGACACCATTGCAGTGTTTTATCAGCCCTGTGCCTGTACCCCAATGTGGCTGAGCGAATTTAACCATTTGGAGTACTGTGTACAGTTCTGGTCACCACCCTGTAAAAAGGATATTATAGCTTTGGGAAAAGTGCAGAAAAGGGCAACTCGAATGATAAAAGGGTTGGAACACTTTCCCTATGAGGAAAGGTTAAAGCGCTTGGGGCTCTTTAGTTTGGAGAAATGACGGCTGAGGGGTGACATGATCGAGGTTTATAAGATTATGCATGGGATAGAGCAAGAAGAGAAAGAGGTACTTTTCTCCCTTTCTCACAATACAGGAACTCGTGGGCACTCAATGAAATTGCTGAGCGGTCGGGTTAGAACAGATAAAAGGAAGTACTTCTTCAACCAAAGAGTGATTAACACATGGAATTCACTGCCACAGGAGGTGGTGGCGGCTACAAGCATGGACGGCTTCAAGAGGGAATTAGATAACTATATGGAGCAGAGGTCCATCAGTGGCTATTGGCCACAAGGTATAGATAGGGACTCTGGGTCAAGTGATGCTCTGTATTCTTGGTGCTTGGAGGGGGGGGCACTAGTGTGAAGCCGCCACAGAGAAGGCCCTGGCCCTCGTCACAGCCAGCCTGGCTTCCTTGGGGCCCGGATGGGCCAGATGGTTTTGGTCTCACACGGCTACTTCAAATGCAAAGGAGGCAACAGAGCCCCTGTAAAGGGCAAGCCCCCAGTCTTTCGCTTTGCATCTATCATTCCTGTCCTCATTCAGGCTTTTTAATGGATTTTTAAAAAATAAATATTATTAGAATGTTTTAATGCTGCAATGATATACCTACTACTGATAATCTTTTTCAAAAGGCTGCCAGTGGTTGGTAGAAGCAATGGTGCTGGGTGTGGGCAGGGAGGTGCAGAAATCCATGTCTTTCTGTCTGGCAGACAACAATGTTATAGGGAAGCTCCAAAAAAAAATCACTGCTGCCACAGCACTAACCACACTCAATAACATCAGCTGGAATTGATACACACACCCAAGCTTCAGAGCCAACACTGTCTGGGCAGCAGAGAGCTGGAATTGCGCCAGCAGCACCCTTAAAGATCTACCACTGGACTAAATTTGGCCTGTCTCCCTGGAGTGAGAAGGAGAGTGCAGAACTAGAGTGTCTGCCCTGGGCTCAGAAATGACACAGATTGTGATGAAGCAGGCAGTGCCGTTGAGTTCCATCGTCTTGCAGACCTTAGGCGTAGAGATACCACACTGCTAGCATGCTGGGGCCACTGGACATGGACGACCACAGGGTCATACCATCTTTGCAGTTCTGTTTGAAGAAGCCCTTTGCTGAAGCTCTGACCACTGGATTTTCCTGGAACGAGACACACCTCCAAATGTAATGTGCCACTGTTACTGATTTAACACATGGACTGTGTGATTTAAAATTGCATGGGGAGTGGACTTTTTTTGGGGGGAAGCTAAGCAACTCCCTCTTCCACTTTTATTTCATCCAGCCCATGAACTGCTTAACAATTTCTTTGGGAGTTTGGGCCCATCAGACAACGCCCTGAGCTGGTAGGCTGATGTCACGAGAGGATCACGCAGTCCAAGGCCCACGGAATGTGAGAGAGAGGCCCACGTATGGATTTCTACCCACAGCGAGCCCACCGACTTCCCTGAATACAAATACTGGGTGTGCTGGAAGGGACACTAGTCTGCCATTCGACTTAGTTTTGTCAGAAAGTGGGTGGTAATCCAGAGGTGGCCCTGGGGCAGAAGAAGTTGCCTTCTCCTGCTCCAAAATGCAGGAAACAGCTTGAGCATGGATCCCTCACAACTTCCTTTCTGTAAGATGTGCTGGGACAGGAAACATAATGAAGCACATTTCCTCTCTCACTGTCTATAGCAAATCACAACATCCTTCTCCACCATCACCTTTTTTCACTGGTTCCTGCTAACCCCCCGAGCCTGCCTTGGCGGGGAGGGTGGGGTATAAATTGAATGAATAAATAAATGCTTCCAGGTCGTCCTTCAGGTCTTGTCTCAGTTCTGTGCTTGTGATTCTTGTTGCCGTCTTTCCTTCTTTCTTACTTAAGTGGTGCTTCCTGGTTGAATCCTTTCCTCCAGAGCTGTGAATCTTTTTAGTCTGGGGATAAAAAAAACATTCAGTGGTGGCCATTTACACCTGGGTTGCTTGCAGTGTAATTCTAGGCAGATTTACTCCAGTTTGACTCATTTGAAATTGATGGATTGTATCCTGTGGGACATTTCCGCTTGCATGAGAGGTCTTGCTTAAGCAGAAATGGAAGAAAGTCATTGTGAGTAGCCTCGCTTGACTGTATCCCGTCTTGCATTTCCACTTGTGTAAGACTTAGCTGCAAGGTATATTTCAGTAACCCCTCCCCCCTATGATCTTCTCTGATCAAATCATACCGTACATCCAAATTAGACTGCACCAAATAGCTTTTTCTACACAGCAGCAGCAATTGGAAATGTAAGACTGGCACTTCACCTTACAGGAGCTCTAGCTCTAGTGCACTGTCTTGCTTAAACGGAAGTGCATCAACACTTCTCTTCCACTACGGCACGGTGGGATCTGATCCAGTGGGCTTAGACTGAAGTGAGTCTTATAGGGTTACACTGTTAATAGGGTTACACTGGGCATGTCTGCTTAGGAAAGCGCCACTGTGTACATTGATGCCTACTCTTGGGGAAGCATGGAGGCTTACTTTCAATTTCAGAACCTGTCTTTGGGGGGGGGGGGATTTTTGCAGAGGAGAAGCAGCAGGTGGGAGCAAGGCTAAGCACCCCCTCCTGCCTGCAACATCTGACCTGTAAATGCCTTTCCTCTTAACAAGGAAGCCCCTTGCAATGTCCTTCTGCCCTCTTTGTCTTGTTCAAAACAGCCTTTTGTCACACAAAAGAACCACATGTCTTCCCTTTGCTTTTGATAGATCCATGGGCAAGAACGCATGGCTGCCAACCTAACATTACAAAACAGGGAGGGGTGTCACATACTATCTAAGGGGTGGGCTGTGGACCTTGACTGCCTGTCTTCCATTCCCCAGCATATAATTAGTCTATATTTTTAGTGCCTGGGCAATTCTCATCAGTATTTGTGTGCTTGATTAAACTTGATTGGGATGTGACAGTTGAAATCAGGGGTGTGCAGGGGGGGAAAGTTGGTATATTTTTCAGATTCGGGTATATTGAGCCCGAATTTTTGGGGGGGAAACCCCAAAAAACCCGAATACCTATACCAGTATAGTATAGATATCCAAAAAATTTCGGGATTCCTGAAAAATTTGGGTCCATTATATCCAATGGGGCCATTGAACTCAATGGCAAAAATCTTCTGAAAAGTTTGCAGGGGGCTCGGGGGTTTGAGGTAGAGGCTCCAAATTTGGACTGTAGCTGCTGGAGCTTCTCCCCCAAAAGACACCCAAAGTTTTGAAAAGATTGGACCAGGGGGTCCAATTCTAGGAGCATCCAAAGAGGGTGCCCCCAATTCTCCATTGTTTCCTAGGGGGGAAAGGCAGGCAGCAGACAGTGTCTCCCCAAGAATCTCTCTAAGAAAGTAAGTGAGGTGTGGTGTGGTGTTGTTGTTGAGGGGTCATGTTTGCCAGGCCAGCAGCAGAACCTGTGCAGTGTGCCCCCCAGAACCAATGCCACTATGCCAGTCAGTGCCCAAACCCAACTGGACTCAGTTCAAACCAGAGTATCTCTGCAGCATAAACTGAGGGAGCATGTTTGCCAGCCAGCCAGCAGCAGAACCTGTGCAACGTGGAATCCAGAAGAACCTGTGCCACCGCGCCAGTCAGTGCCAAACCCAACAGAACTCAGGTCGAACCAGAGGACCTCTGCAGCATAACCTGACTGAGGGAGCATGTTTGCCAGCCAGGCCAGCAGCAGAACCAGTGCAGTGTGGACCTCAGAACTTGTGCCACTCAGTGCCGAAACACAACAGAACTCAGGTCAAACCAGAGGACCTCTGCAGCATAAACTGACTGAGGGGGCATGTTTGCCAGCCAGGCCAGCCACAGAGCCTGTGCAGTGTGGACTGCAGAGCCTGTGCCAGTCAGTGCCAAACCCAACAGAACTCAGGTCAAACCAGAGAATCTCTGCAGCATAAACTGAGAGAGCATGTTTGCCAGCCAGGCCAGCAGCAGATCCTGTGCAATGTGGAACCCAGAAGAACCTGTGCCACTGTGCCAGTCAGTGCCAAACCTAACAGAACTCAGGTCAAACCAGAGAATCTCTGCAGCATAAACTGTGGGGGGCAGGACCTGTGCAAGTTAGTAATCACTAGGGGTGTACGATTCATGTCAGATCCAACCCTCGTAACAAATGAGTTCGACATCTTTGCGGCTAGAATCATAGAATCGTAGAGTTGGAAGGGACCTCCAGGATCATCTGTTCCAACCCCCACAATGCAGGAAATTCACAAATACCTCCTCCTCCACACCCCCAGTGACCGCTGCTCCACACCCAGAAGATGACTAGCCTGTTTTGGAAATCCAAAGGTGCCCACAGGCTCAAAAGGATTTGGGACCCCAGTTCTAAACAATGATTTGCCCAAACCATGGCTTGGTGTGAACGCGGTCCACTTCGTCAGATGCATGAAGTGTCACCTCTAGCTAGCACAAGGAGGTGACTCTTCATGCATCCAGCCAAGCAAGCAGCCTCTGTCTCATGTCAGCTTACCTCAAAATACCTTTGTTTGTATCTGATGTGCCC